AAGTAATTAAGCGTAGGTGTTCTTGCATTTAAGTGCATGCTTAAATGTTAAGTGTAAAAAAAGCTTTCTTTTGTATTCTTTTTCTTTTTTATTAAAACAGCCTGTTAAAAACGCAGATTTTTTTTTTTTTGCACTAAAATGAAAAAATAAATAAATAAAATCATAGAAGTATGAAAGTATTTATAAAAAATCATTAAATAGGCTTGTCACGTAAACGATTAATAAATATGAAAACGCTGCTTGATCTGTTTATTAAATGATTTGAGCAAGAAAAAGAAATTTCCAAGGTTAAAATGTGATGAATAGCATTCATTATTTTCTGTTTAATAAAAAAATTTTAATTTTAATTTTTTTTTAACAAAAATATTTTACGGTTATTTTAGTTATTGCTTTCTTACCATTCTCTTTTCTATCATGATTAAATAATCTAAAGAACATCTCTAAATTAATCTCACTCTATCTCTTTATTTATTTTATTGCTTGCAACTTTGTTCTTTCCAAAAATATTAAAAGTGCTGAAATTCAAGCAAAATACATTCGAGAATTGTTTCGTATATACATATATATATGGAATGCTAATCATTTACTTTGCATGCGGTTATAAACTAATTAAAAAAATTATCTCATGTGATCAATTTAATATTTATTTTTGAAGAAATGTTTACGAAAGTGTGAAGAAATGTTTATTTGTTTCATACTCTTTAAATATTCTTACTTTCTGATCTACCATTCACAGTCAAACAGTCTTCCTCTATATTATTCCCTTGACAAACTTAGGCTTGAACCCGAAAAGCCAACAACCCTTTAAGTACTTTTTTTCCCAGTCTCATAAGTTGACTTTCCATTTGTTTATATATTTTTTTTTCACCACTCTATCTCTCCCACTGTAGCTCTTTTTAAAGATCAGGTTACTGAAGTATATCAGCAACCTCGCATAGAGGATAATCATAAAACACCCCGCGAGAGAAGGAGTCGTTCCCAAATAAAACAAATTAAGAAAGAAACGGGTGGAGAAAAAAAAAATTAAGATGGAAATGTGTTTCTTCTCTTTCGAAATATCAGATTCTGAGCGACCGGCAACAACAGCTGCAACGCAATGCATCCTGGGAAGGACTCTTTATCGCCCGGTTTCCAAGGTCACCGACCGAAATTTTCATCCACGATGTGTCAGCTGTTCCACCTAACGCTTATCCTCCCTCTCGAACTTCAACCTTCCATTTCTCTCTCACAGAATGCGATAGAACATATCTAAGGTGATAAATTGCTTGAAGAGCTGTCCAAAATAATCCAAACGCTAATTTAACAGATTGAAAATTCATACATATTTCAGTTACGACCTTTGTTTTTGTTCGAGGACAGGGAGGATGTTTGAAGGAAGGAATGGGTGTAAACATGTTTACAATTGCAACATGGCGTGTGGCAGGGTTTCGACAGCTATCTGATTATAGAAATCGAGTTGTTATTTTTTTAAATGCAAGATTATTTTCTGGGCAGACATGGCTGTACTAAGCGAACCTTTGAAAGCGAAAACCGGCGGATATTTGTGCCAAAAAATGCCGAGAATCGGCAACCGATATCTTTAGTTTTTCCGGTATCCGGCTCGCTTACGTTTGACAAGCCGGCATTGGCAGCCAATGGGAGCGAAGTGGCACTGAGTCTCTCCGCCAATTGCCGAGCAGTTGCGTCACGTGGGTTTGTTGACGTGAGCCCCGGCCGGCTAAAGGACGAAAACCTGGCAGATCGAGTCAAGAACTGAAAACGCATAGCTGGGTTTCGAAGTTAATGCGACGCTTTTGACAAAAAAGGAACTTTTAGCTATTACAATTCTATTTGTCATCGATTCGGAGATTTGTCACTGTTTATCTTAATCATTGTTTCTGAGTTGATTGTGTTTTAATATATATATATTTTTTCACCACCGAGATGCATCCGGACTTGTCGTGAACCATGTCGACTGGTAAAAGATTAGCGAAGCGTTCCATCCTGGGTACCAGGGTGTGCGCCCCGAATTCCCAAGGGGTCTTCATGCCAGGAGTGATCCAGGCGACCAGGACAGATGACCACCGCAGTGTGTATACTATTTGTTTGGACGACAAAACAGTCAGTGAATACGGGCAGGCCGAGTTGGTCGGGCCCGGCTTCAAAAGCGTGATGGATGTGATCTTACAGAGAGGTCAGCGAGTATTTGTCACACATAATGGGCGAGAAGTGAAAGGAGTGGTATGTGACCACAGGCCGGACACTGACGAAGTCGAATTGAGTCTCCCTTCTGCTGGACTTGCATTGAAAAAGAGGCTAGAAGAAGTCCGGTTAATTGAGAGCAGAAAATCAGCAAGACTGCTGGATCTGGATACGGATTATTCAAGACTGGCCGATGGTCAGCCCGAACCGAGGAGGAGGGCTTCATCTCTCAGCATCGATGTCCCCTATGGCCAGAGGTAAATTCCCTTCCTAATTTCTTTGTTTATATTTTATAAAATATAAGAGTTCATTTCTTTATCACCATTTTTAAAACTAAAAAAAAAAAAAAAAAAAAAAAAAAACTTATTATATTGTTATTGTTAGTTTGTAAATTCAAACAACCAAACGCCAACAAACTTGATAGATATCGAGCGTTTAGTTGTTGGTAGTTGTAGTCGCATGCAGCTTTTCTTTGAATATCAACAAATCAATATCTCATTTCCATCTTCTTGTTCTGAGTAAAAATGGTTCATAAATTTTTATTTTAATATGGGAATCTTCAATTATTATTTTATCACATTTTTTAACGTTACTTAAATGCATTTTGAATGTAATTATCACATTTTTTGTATATTTCGAAAATAAATTAAACTCAAATGCATGTATGTTTATATTCAGTCAGTGAATGATTTTTTTTTTTATCGATTAAATTTTTAAGACATAAGAAAACAGGCGCTACTTTAGGATATTTAAATAAAGTACAATTAAATTTCAATGTTTTGTATGATTTCTTGAGAAAGTTCATAATGCATCAGTTGATTTTACATGAATTTCTTAGTAAATAATGCGCATAAAATAACGATGTAAAAAAAAAATGTATTTTATAACACATCCATCAACTAATGTATATTCCACGATAAAAGCTTTATTCATATATATATGACAAATTTAATCATTCTATATTTTATAATCTTAAAAAGGTAATTTTATGGTAGTAAAAATTATTTATAAGTTTTTACAAAAAAAAAAAAAAAATTCTAGTCTGTTTTAATAGCAATGATGAGTTATTTTAGACATCAAAAAGTATTTAGTAATAGATTTTTCATTGGATTAATATATTTTTTATCATTAACTGGGTTAATAAACAGTTATTGTTTGCTTTTCTTTTTTTCTCTGGAATTGTTAATAAAAATTAATACTTAATAATTTATTAATTAGATTTATATATATTATTTTGCTTCAAATCAATATAAAACAGTTTTTTTATTTATTTATTTCAATTTTTAACTATGAGGTGGAAAAATTTAATGTATGGTAAGAATAAGATTTCTTTTTTAACATGTATATAATTTTAATATTTTTAATGTATTTATTTTAAAACATCTCTTTAAAAATTGTCATATTGCTCTAAATTTTAATTCATTAAATAACATTTTTGTACTTAGTAGCGTGTGTAAAAACATCTAATTTTTTTTCTTCTGAAATAAAATCCGCCATATTAAAATATAAGAAAATTTTTTTTTATATTTAATTAAAAAATTGTTGAATTTGAAAGTTTTTTCACTGTAAAATATATATGTTTTTAATGTCATTAATTCATTATTTCATCGAGTTAAGATAAGGAAACTCTTGTACATCATCAAGTGCATTTTACTGTGTTAAATATGACCTTGAATGTCATAACCATATTAAGTACGTATGCATGAAGTAACGTTAAAAAACCCTTTCTATTTTTAACTATTCAAAAATAACCAAGAAAAAGATACGGCAGTTGCTACTTGTTTGCGCTCAAAACCGGCGAAAATGACAAGCGGTGTTTGAGCGTGCGCGTTCCTGGTTCTTATGTAGGTCAGAACTGTCACCGGCCCTGGCAACAGCAGAGCTGTTCCTATTTGTCGACAGTGGCTCTAAAATAAATTAATCCGATTGTTCTGATTGATTCGGCTTAGGGAATTTTCACAAATTTCTTTAATTCGTTTTTAATCCGATTTTATCATCTGTTTTTCAATGAAAATGTTCTATTGTAATTAGGTTATATTGCTCAATTATGAGTTTTAATAGGATTTGCTTGTGTTGAAGAATTTTTTTTTTTTTTTTTTGAAAGCTGAAGGTGAATTTGAAAACTACATTTATTACATTGGAATTATTTTAATGAGATATAAAAAACGTTTGAGGATATAGATTTCATAGAACTAATAATATACTATTTGATATTTAGAAATCAGTGATTAAAATTTTGGCAGAAATTCAATTTTTTTAATTGAATATAAAAAAAATTAATTATTACAAACAAAAAAGAAATAATTTGATTAATTTAATAAGTTTAGATTAGCTATTCAATTTCTTTATTTTTTTCTTGATGTTATTGATTTAATATTTAATATTACGTATGAGTGAAAATTTGAATGAGGTAGTACCACTTATCATTTCCTACGTAGAATTTTGATCAATAGATGTATGTCAAGTATATTATTTAGAGTATGATATAAATAAGATAATAATATATATATATATAATATCTAATAAAAAAGTTAATGAAATAAATTTTATATCTGACATTTTTTTTCACGATAAATAAAAATAGCAGTCGTATTCGTAATCTTAAAGCTTGCAATTACAATTAAAATTAAGAAGGTAAAAATTATTTTTAATTACAATTATTTTATAATCGTTAAAGATGTTATAAATCATTTTATGACCGTTAAATATGTTATAAATCATTTTATTATCGTTAAATATGTCATTAATCATTTTATTAAGTTCATCGTTCAAAGATTTTTTTTCTTATATATTCTTTCAGCACATCTTCGTTACATGATCGTTAGATCACCGAAGTTAAGCATCATTGGGCGCGTTCAGTACTTGGGTGGGTGACCACCTGGGAACACTGCGTGCCGTTGGCAAATTTGGGACCTGAATGGCCGAGTGTCTAGCTTTCTGGCGCTCGGTGTCACAGGTTTCGGGTTCGAATCCCGGCGGTGCCATGGATGTTTGTAGTGGTTCGGAATCCACTTTAAGCCGTAGGTCCGGGTCTTCTATGACTGTAAGAGCGTCACGGAGCAAAAGTCAGGCTTCTACCTACGGGGTGCTCCATCACAACAGAAGCTGCTTCCTTCCCCTTCAATCATGAGTCCATATGGGCTCGTGGGCTTGGCCAGCCAAGTGGGATAAGAAACAACAACAACAACAACAACACATCTTCGTAAATATTTACTAATTAGAACCTTTGTTGGCAGCAAGAAAAATGTACGCTAATTAATATTTTTATATATTTAAAACCCTTTCATTTAGAAAAATAATTATTTTAAAGATGAAAATAATAAGAATGATAAAAACTTAAAACAATGCATTTTTATCAGATTGCATTTTTTTTTTTTTGAAAGTATAACTAACTGCGAATGCATGCAGATGCCATTATTTTGTCTACATGTTGTGAAAATTTGCATTGCTAGCTATCTATTACACATTGAATAAGAATGCTTTTAATTGGATGGAAAATTAAGACAATAGAAAGGTCTTTTATGAAGATTTAATGAAAGCGTTTTATATTTCTTATCTGTACCTACAATGCCGGCGCGAAAGCATTTTTGACAAAAACTGGGTTTGCCGGCTCTGCAGAGCGCACAAGGTGCTGTTGTGAAACGTGCTTTGCCCTAATTCTAAACAAGGTCAACTTCCACTGCTATACGTTAAACCACTGTTGCCCTAAAACCATATTAAAAAAATAAATAAGCAAGAGAAAAAATAAACGAGAAAGAAATACGAATAAAAAAGGATTAAAATATCTGGACTGTCAACTAACAAACTGGTTCTTTGCCAGCTTTATCTGACGGTCGATTCTTAAAATCTTCCGCAATGCGAATATTTATCACTCGACCGAATAAAATACACAATGACAAAAAAAAAAAAAAAAACAGTTTTCGTCAGCATACTTGAGATATTTATTTATTTATTCACTTTTATTTATTTTTCTGTTTTTAAAAAAGAAATTTCGCCCTTGTGGCAACAACATTCTAATTAGGACGAACGGTTAAGAACGAAACTGATTAGACTGAGTGATTTAAATTTTCGCAAGTTATAAGTTGAGTGCTAAAATGTTTTTGCAGAGAGAAATTCCTTGTGCCCGATCTGTCAGAACGAGATGGTAATTTATTTGCAGGCACTTCAATTGGAAAGGTCGAAACTGTAACATGACATTGCGATGCTCTCGGCGCTTTATGCAGCTGCATTTGATTTAATGGTTTGGTTGTCCGGATTTTGAAAGAAGTCTCACCACCTGCAAATTGCTTACAAGAATATTCTAATTAACCAATCGGGCGTCACTTCGCAAATGATATTCAAATGAAATCTTCGTTGTGCTTCGTAAAAGCGCTGTTTGCTTATAGCTGGATTTGAATAAATACAACGGTTCCTTGTAAACATGAGGTAACGCAAACAGCATACATATGTCGACATCAGTTTAAAAAAACATCTGTTATCAATAGCAGTTCATAAAGAATGCCGTTCAATGTTAGCTATTGATTATATATTTAAAATTAGAAAAAGCTATAATTATTCATTTCGAAATAAGTCATATCTTTCATGTAAATAAATAATCTGTAATGCCTATTTAATCGCAGATTATTTTAAAAATTCCATAAAAAAATTGCAAATATTAAATTTTTAAATAAAAAAATATATAATATTTTTTTATTATCAAACGAAATAAAAAAGACTGAAAGTTATGCATCGACGATGGCAATATTAAATGCATAAAATTTTAGAAATAATTTTTTTTAAAATTCAACTCATAAATAAATATATTTAGACATAAATATCTTAAAAGTTGAATTTAAGTATACAATTTGGGTTTTTAAGTAGTGATTAATGCATTATTACAAAGTAAAATTAAAAATGACTGTTCAATAAACACTTCATTGTGTAAGACTTTCATTTTTATTTCAATATTTATTCTGTTTTACTGTTTTATATAATTCTGATTCCAATAAATCTTTAAGTGGATTTAAAAAAAAGCAGGAGGCCTCTCTTTAAAAATGACAGGAACTTTTTTAGTTGATTAAATTAACGTTAATATGTTAACTTAATCGATTAATTTATCAACATACGTTAATTTTTAATTATTCTTGAAGTAATACGTTAGCTTAACCAATTAATTTATCAGTGTACGTTAATTTTTAATTATTCTTGAAATAATTTCTTAGTCGTTTAAATATTATTTTACAATTAAAATTAATTAATTTTTTTTTTAATCTTGAAATTTTGAATTATTTTAAACTAATTTATTACTTTTTTTCTTCTTAAAATTTGCTAATTGACATCATATTTGTGATATCTCTATACATTTTTTTTTCGCTTAATGTATAAAAATGAGAGAAGTGCTACTGTATAAGCTTTTTATACGGGAGAAATTTTAACAGTGACAGGCTGAATCCCCTCATAAAAGACAAGCAAGGACGCAACACATAGCGGTAAATCTTACCAGCTGGCCATTACGTAAATTGAGACTGTGCCAATAGACGATTTTTCATTCAGCATGCCTCCTTCCTCTATCACGATCAAGCGTTAATTAAAACAAAATAATTTTTTATTCGTACTCTACAATTTAATTACGTTGCTTTAATAAATGGTTTACATTCTAAATGTATTCAAAAAAAAAAAATTATAGCTTTAAATCCTGCCGAAAACATTTTTTTTAAAGATTTGATGAATTTTTTTAGTTAAAAAATATTATTAAAATAATAATATAAATATATATTTATTTGATAATAGGCTGCATTTTTAAAAATAACATTGGTATTAAATAATTAAAAAGTTCAGACATTGTTGAACTATGTATGAAATGTACTAAAAAAAATCTGACTATAGTAATTTTTAATTCTATAATTATTATCGTACAGTCAGATTACGTTAGGTTAGATAAGTAAGCATAAACAGACGTAACTGAAGCGCTGATAACAATTTATTAACAAGTCACTGACTTCAGCGTTATAATTATCACATTGTTCCCTGTGCGATTGATTTACTCTGATAATCTATCACAAGACTTATTACCTTCATAAAATTGATAATTTTGTGATATGGAATGACTAAAAAAAGTATTAATCACATTGTACTTCGTTATCAGTATTGGTATTAGTGATACTCAGCTTTTATTCAATTAACACAGAAATTAACATAATTTTATTCAATTAACACATAAATAATAAAAATAATCCTAAGATACGTAAATAAAATATAAATTTAATTTACTTACGTGAAACTGGATTCTTTAGCAGAATATAAATTTTCTTGCATTGAAAAATAAAATAAAATAAATTTTAGAATTATTGAATATTATTATTTTTTAAAAAATATATATAAATCTGTATTCATTAAAAAAAAAAAATTCATTCTTTTTTTTGAATATGAATACTGTAAAACTGATGTTTACAGTAAATTAATTCTTTTTTAATTATCGTGAAAAGTTTTTTAGAATTGTTTTAAGAATTATTTCTTTTCTTGTGTTGAACAAACGATTTTGTACCAATAAAATTGCCATCGCTGTAAAAAAATAGCAAAATAAATAATTTCTAATTAAAATAAATAGTAATAAGAAATTTACATTTATAAATCAAAAATTAAAAATGCTATTGTTATGGTGAATAAGGCAAAATAACTAAATAAATTGCTAAATAAGGCAAAATAATGAAAATAAGAATAATTGATATGGATTTAAATAATAATAATGGATTTAAACACCTCTTTGTAATTTTAGAGCAAAAGTTTTTTTTATTATTATTATTATTAGTGGCATCACTGTAATAATTTATTTAAAAAAATTTAAAAAGTTCCGAAAAGAAAAGATTTTCTAGAAGATTCCAAGAAAAACAGTGGCGAATAGTTATATTTTACAATTTAATCTGCTTTCGTATTGGATATAAAATAAATCCATCTGCTCATCAAATAGTGAAGAATGAATTATTAAGTAGTTGAAATCAATCCAAAATGTGTTCGGTAAGGAATTGTTTAATTTTTTCTGTGCATGACAATCGGCTACCAACTTCTAACAGCTGTCTGTGTCCTAAGAAGAAAGAACCATTTTTTTTCCCCCTCTGTCCGTATTTCCGTCATAAAGTCACTTTCTTCTTTTTTTTTTATTACGACAATATGAATACGGGCTACGTCATTGTTATGACGTCACGGAAAAAATACTTTCTTCCAATGTTTCTAGCACCTGCGCATCATTACGTGGGAAATTTCAAAACTAAAAAAGGAACTTTTTTCATGGTATGACGTGCGGACTATGTGGTGCTGTGGAAATAGAATTAAGCTGAAATTTAGTCTCGTGTAAGTGCTATTTATTCAAGCCTGTCCTTTATTTGATAGTGTTATTTAACCGCAAATTTGGTGCGTCTTTTCTTTTTATACCGAGAAATATTAATGACTTAATTTTTTTCTAATATGTGTTTTTAACTGTGAAGGATTACTACCCCGAATTCAGGATTTCCTTTTGTATTTTGAGGTTATATTTATTCGACGAATGATCTTTAATTAAATAATAATTACACAGTAAAATGCTCTTACGGGCATTCGATGATTCGGTATTCTCTGTTATCCGGCATTGATCGAGCCATTTGCTTTCGAATTTTCTGGTGTTGATTCGGGTTTCCGTTGACCTTGACTGCGAGTTTGGGCGAAAATGCTAGCAGCAGTTTTTAATCGTGTCACTTTTCTTTTTGGTACAGCGTAGAATTCATAAATTTGTGTATAGTTGAAGAGGTCAGAATATCGGTAGCAACGCCATAACAGATACTTTTTTAAAATAATTAAGCAGACTAATGTAAATTTTTTCTCACCATAGAGTAAGTAGTCTGTCACAATTTGTTTTGACTATAATTGTACAGTATTAATTTTTCTCAT